CGGAAAATTTTCGGACTTTCGGCAGCGGCCCAGCCAAGGTGCTGGCGTCTCTGCCCAAGGTGCTTGCACCTTTGGGCAAAAACTAGTCGGTCCCGACGTTTTCGGAGCAATTCTCGACATCTGAGAAAACGGCCCCGACAACCCCCGTGCCAAATTCAATTTCCTACGCGCTCGCATTTTTTATGATTTTTTCGGGTCGGAAAATTTTCGGACTTTCGGCACCGCCCCACCCCAGGTGCTGGCGACTCTGCCCAAGGTGCTAGCAACCTTGGGCAAAAACTAGTCTCTCCTGACGTTTTCGGAGCAATTCTCGAAATCTGAGAAAACGGCCCCGACAACCACCGTGCCAAATTCAATTTCCTACGCGCTCGTATTTTTTATTATTTTTTTCGGGTCGGAAAATTTTCGGACTTTCGGCACCGGCCCAGCCAAGGTGCTGGCGACTCTGCCCAAGGTGCTAGCAACCTTGGGCAAAAACTAGTCGGTCCCGACGTTTTCGGAGCAATTCTCGAAATCTGAGAAAACGGCCCCGACAACCACCGTGCCAAATTCAATTTCCTACGCGCTCGTATTTTTTATTATTTTTTTCGGGTCGGAAAATTTTCGGACTTTCGGCACCGGCCCAGCCAAGGTGCTGGCGACTCTGCCCAAGGTGCTAGCAACCTTGGGCAAAAACTAGTCGCTCCCGACGTTTTCGGAGCAATTCTCGAAATCTGAGAAAACGGCCCCGACAACCACCGTGCCAAATTCAATTTCCTACGCGCTCGTATTTTTTATTATTTTTTTCGGGTCGGAAAATTTTCGGACTTTCGGCACCGGCCCAGCCAAGGTGCTGGCGACTCTGCCCAAGGTGCTAGCAACCCCCGGAAAACGTGATACTAGCCGGTCACGGAGCATCTGAAATTGAGAAACGGCCCGACAACACCGTGCCAAATTCAATTTCCTACGCGCTCGTATTTTTTATTATTTTTTTCGGGTCGGAAAATTTTCGAACTTTCGGCACCGGCCCAGCCAAGGTGCTGGCGACTCTGCCCAAGGTGCTAGCAACCTTGGGCAAAAACTAGTCGGTCCCGACGTTTTCGGAGCAATTCTCGAAATCTGAGAAAACGGCCCCGACAACCACCGTGCCAAATTCAATTTCCTACGCGCTCGTATTTTTTCTTATTTTTTTCGGGTCGGAAAATTTTCGGACTTTCGGCACCGGCCCAGCCAAGGTGCTGGCGACTCTGCCCAAGGTGCTAGCAACCTTGGGCA